TGCATAGGCGGTCTGCTAGGTATTCAGTAAAGCGGCTAATGCATAGGGCATAGGAGTTGAAACTTTGTTAAACATCTACAAGTTCGCCGACTCAGCCACCTTTCGGTTTGTGCTTCATTCCGTTCATCAGGTCAAGGGGAACTTCGTACTGATACTAGCTCTTGCGAGCAACAATCTAAGTGTGTTTTCGCCACAGGGTCCCACTGAGGGCTGTGGTGTGATCCCCGTCGAGGGGCGCTGCATGTGCATAGACCCAGATCCTGGGGATACCATGCCGCAGGGCTTACTGAGACTCACACTCCAGTCCGGACTTACATTTTGGATTGACCGTCTTTGCTTGATACCACTGATCCGATGCCGCAGGGCTTACTGAAACTGTGCCGCAGGGCTTACTGAGATTTCAACCGATTCGGATTTGCACTTTCATGCCCGTCTAAGTAATCACAGGCGGGGCTTAGGACGCGGGCATGTCAAACCACCGACTGCGTTTGTTGCATGTGCTGTTCATGCTCTTCGGTTCTTTCTCTCTTTTTGTTGCTTTTCGTTTCTTGAGGCCTTTCTTTAGGTTCCAGGTGTCTTTCAGACAATTGGTTGCGCCGGCCCAAATCGGCTTCACTTGAGTGCCAATGATGGCAAGCCTACGGGCCACCCTAACCCACCCTCCCCCCTACCTCCCTGCCCCTGGGCCTCCGTTGCTATCCCACCCGCTATTCGGGCAACAGAAGGAAATCGGACTCAACACACTTGTGTGTTGGTGCCTTTCCTTCTGTTTCTCCTTTCCTATTGCTAGCTACCCGGGCGGTTTAAGACAAAATGTCCCGCTCGCGTTCTACTTTCATTTAAGTGGGCCTCGTAACTACACCTATCTTTCTTTCTTGCCCTCTTAGTCTGCTTTTGTTTTGTTTGCTTTCACTGTCTTTCTAAGGCTTTTTAGGTGGCTAGTACTTTTCAAACAGTGCCAATATTGGCGCTATGTGTACAAAGCTTTGCGACACAAACAACGCTACTAGGGGCTTCTGGCCTCGCTACCAGGAGCCACGACGGTACTCCTGGGGGCCTCTGACCTTTCTGTGTAAGGACGCTACTAGCGACTCCTGGCCACGCTACAAAACTGCAAGCAAGGGACAGTGCGCCGAGTACGGCTTCGTGTGTGTGTCCACACCTGTGCCTAAGGTTTTCAGTCACAAAGAACGCTACTAGGGCCCCTGGTTTTGCTACTAAGGGCTCCTGGTGTCGCTACTAACATATAGTTTCTCAGCGCGGAAAAAAGAGGCAGGGGGCCACAGACCTGCCACTGCTGCTGTGGCCAACGAAGACCGGCAGTGGTAGGTGTGAAAACGTACCTGCAAAACTGTTTAAAGCGGCTAGTGCATAGGCGGTCTGCTAGGTACTCAGTAAAACGGCTAATGCATAGGCGGTCTGCTAGGTATTCAGTAAAGCGGCTAATGCATAGGCGGTCTGCTAGGTATTCAGTAAAGCAGCTAATGCATAGGCGGTCTGCTAGGTATTCAGTAAAGCGGCTAATGCATAGGAGTTGAAACTTTGTTAAACATCTACAAGTTCGCCGACTCAGCCACCTTTCGGTTTGTGCTTCATTCCGTTCATCAAGTCAAGGGGAACTTCGTACTGATACTAGCTCTTGCGAGCAACAATCTAAGTGTTTCTCTTCAGTTGCGGAGATGCAACTGGATGGCTGGTGTCAAATCCAGGTGGTTATTTGACACTTCACGATGGACATGGGGACATGGCATGGATCACAAGATTTGATTTGGATGTGAAGCTCAGCAGTGGGTGCTTGATATATCTTGATATGGCTTGACTGGATGCTGACAAACAAGTTCAGAAGGGCATGCAACATGGTACAAAGGCCATTGGAAGTCACGTGCACACGGGGCTTGCGCTTGAACGTGCTGGACCTCACAGTAAGCTTGAATGACCAGTACCAGAACAATGTCTTATGCAAGCGTGGAATATGCTCCACAGCCACGCGTGGACACATCGTCCATTACTCGGATTGCAGGGCTTCACCAAATCTTGCTGCCTGCACCTTCGGCGACTACCTGTTCGAAGCCTTGGATGAAGCAAGTAGCAAGACCACAGATTACCACTGACATGCCTTGACTTGGAGTGTACATCTCAGGGTTTTTGCCCTTGAACTCCTCTCTAAACGATGTCACTGGAGGTTTCAGGAAGAGGCCTCTCCCACTTCGAGACGACAGTGACATAGCCGTCGCTTTGGATGCATGTCTCTAGTCTCTACAAAGTGGAAGCACAAATGTTGAGCAAAGAGGAAGATTAGAAAGGACACCTACATAGGACTGTGTTCGGCCAAGTGGCCTGTTGTACCTCACACGCCACGGCTACAAGGTATGAGGCTTGTAAACTCACGGCATTCCTTGTGAAGGAATGATCCTTCGATGGCTTACAATTTGCTGCACCTCGCGGCTATGGGCTTGGGCTGATCTGCCACAGCTGTGACGACCCACTAGGGCCACTAGGGGGATTGGCAATGGGCATTTTCCATCTGTGGCAGGCTTTTCGAAGGGGTCCCTGAGCGATGTGTGGACTTTTATCAGGAAGGCCAGGCTTAAGGTAGCATGAGATACCCTGATTCTCAAGAACAATTGGGCGCGATGTCAAAAAGTCTCATTACCTGTCCTCTCCTCACTTTCCTGCCCCTTCAGTTCCTCTAATACCAACTCAGGCCATGATCTATATGGAGAAAGGGACAGCAGCAACATTGTTACGCCCATTTTCAAAACACTCTGGGAATTGCGATGGAGCATCCCTGAAATGGTACAAGCAGAAAAGGCACCATTCTACCAAATTTTGGTATAGACTGTATTCTGTATTGTTTAGTCGGCATTTGCCCCAAAATAATCTGTCCGCTCGCAAGTGCTTGCCAAGCTACCTCCTTGTCTTTGGCCTGTGGGGGAGGCACTCAAACCAGGAAACAAACATCAGGCCTCATCAGGCACTCTTCGAGTCACTAAACATGATGCTCATAACCTTGCCACGTTCAACATGACATATTTGTCAATGTTTTATGTCTTTGGTTTCTAGATGTTTCTAGCCTTGGGATTTGTTCTGGTTGTCATGATGCTGTTCCGCCTGTCGCTTTCCATCTTCCAACTGCTCCTCCAGCTTCTTCTTCTTCTTCTCTGCCTTCGAGGAGCAGCACATTGAACGACTTTGCCAGAAGCCGGAAGCACTAAGGACAGTGGCAACACACTCAGCATAGTCATTTCTGTCATGTCACTGATTTGAATATTTGTAGCCGTAGCCAAAGAGAGCCGATTCACCAGCTCTTGGTAAGGGGGATCTGTATCCATAAGAGCCCAGCTCATCATGCTCTGAGAACCAAATCCCAAACACATTTCATTTGAGCACATGCGTCTGGTTGTGTCAAGGTGATGAATTTAGCAGCACGAAGCATCTCACTTCATGAAAAATGATGTTCACAACCTTAGCAGCATTGGACCTGCCACACAAATCGGCAAAACAAACAGCAAAAGCAGCTTCGAGGCGGAAGCTGATGCTGCCTCTTCTTCAGCCTCCGCTGGCAGCGCATGCACAACACATGAAACTGTCTCGCAAAGCACCATCAAACACTTGAGGAGAACGTGCACGAGTGCATAGGGGTTCATCTAAAGTTTAAAGGGACTTCGTACTATCCCTTCCGAGACACTTCTCCCTTAAGCATCATAGGTTGGAACACTGGCACGGCCTGTTGCTGTGCTTTCTTGAGGTCCCTCTTGAGCGTCTCATTTTCCACCTGGAAAGATAGACCATCGGCAACGCAGATCTATCAAAACGAGATAACACGGTCAAATGTGTTGTTCTTCCAACCAATGACAACCACAATGAAGCCAACAGTCTATATATAATTATTAAAAAATCGCAGAACTGTCTTTTCAGGTGAAACGCTCCACATACTCTCATCCTGTGTGGTGAATAATGGTAAATGTACTGTGAACAGAAACTATCTGTAGTGTCTTCAGGTAAGCAACATGCATTGAAGCTCTGTGCCAAGCACTTTAGTGACTTAGCCCAGTGCAACTTGAACATATCTACTGTAAGAAATCAGTATCCCTCCAAGTGAGGGCAATCGAGCTGCACAAAATCAACACTAATCACCAGTAGCTTGTCCAAAGCCGCTTCACGAATTGATCTCTTGATGTGGCTAGGAGCAGCACTGGACCTGCCACAAAAAACAAAAGCACCTGCGAGGCGGAAGCTGATGCTGCCTCTTCTTCAGCCTCCGCTGGCAGCGCATGCAGAACACATGAAACTGTCTCGCAAAGCACCATCAAACACTTGAGGAGAACGTGCACGAGTGCATAAGGGTTCATCTAAAGTTTAAAGGGACTTGGTACTAACCCTTCCGAGACACTTCTCCGACTTCTCCCTTAAGCATCATAGGCTGGAACACAAAGTAGCACGGCCTGTTGCTGTGCTTTCTTGAGGTCTCTCTTGAGCCTCTCA